AAATCTGCATTATGAATTAAAAATGCATCTTTATTCTTATCGGACATAAACTAGCTTATGTAATAAAAGGAATTTATTTTAAAATCTAAAGATCTAGTTAAGGTATAAACAGAGCTATATACCGTGTGCAGATCTCTAAAGGAACAATTTCCAATTAAGGTATTAAAGGCACTGAAAAGAATTACAATTAAGCATATATACTGAAATAGGAAGGTTCCATAATAGACTAAGAAGTTACTGTGCTTTCAACTTTGTATCAATCTTATTAGCAAACTCAAAGGAATCTGAGCACAGGCTGAATTTGTAAATAGACTAAACTTTGGAATTCGGCGAAAGAGCTCGACTGCCATTAAGTAAAGAAAAGGTCGTCAAGTTCAACTTCAGCCACACCACTCTCAAATCACATCTCTTACCCAATCGCGAAGACAAAATTAGCTAAATTTTTCTGTGACTATCAGAAACAAAATTAAAAACCCATAAATAAACAAAGCAAGAGTAGGCAGAGAAGTTAAATGGGCGTGTTCATACAGTTGGAAATATTCAGGAAGCACAAATATCATTCAATATTTTTAAATAATTTGAGGTAAAACTGAACCAACGGACTCAAAATAATATCTAAAAACGAATGCTTATTCAATTATTAATCTGTTGAAAAATTTTACCTTATATTTTTAAGTTGTTTATTTTAAGGCTTTATTAATATGAATTAAAAAGTTGAAAAATAGCCTAGCAAAAAAATTAATGGTTTATATTAATCAACTAATTGCTTTATGCATGATTGTACAAAATATGGAGGTGGCCATAGCAACATCTTTTTAGGTTGTATTTTAGGTAATTGCCTCCATGCTATACAAGTAATAATATACTGATTCGGGTCGATTATTCTGCTAAATATATTACAAGTGCTTTAATATGACTTCAAACAAAGCACCTCCTTCCTCGACAAAAGAAAGAGTTGTTCACTGTATGTATTAAACGATTTATTGCCCTGTATTTAGCCTGATTCATAAATTGTTCACTTTAAATTAACACCCATTTTGTTTTTTTAAAATTGAAATTAGATGTCCCCTATCCGCCAACGATAAGATTAACTAGCTCAGATGTTTTCGATAATAAGGGTAAGCCCCAAATCGACAAATTAAAGCAACATTTTACACTTGAGGGTCGTGTTACAGACGATGTTGCGCTAAAATTGATAAATGATGGCGCTGCTCTACTACGAGAAGAAAAGAATATCCTTGAAATAGAGGCTCCCGTAACAGGTATTATTTATATAGAGCCTTTCGTATACATTAATTTTTTTATTATACCACTAACTTACTCTTTTTTTGTAAATTGTAAATTTTCAATATGTTTATTATATTTCCTTCTTAACTTACTTTCCACCCTTGTATTAATAACGTATATAATCTAATGCAATTAATTACTCCTTAGAGAATAATTAAATTTTTCTACATCATGGTTATATCTCTTTTTATTTATTCTACTTATATGTGTTTTTGTTGCATTTCAAGCATATTCATATTCTATACTCATGCCACTGCTTATACGACCGAAAGGTATTACTTTAATATTTTCAGTAGCCTCAGTTACCAGACTTCATATCGTTACTATTATATTGCGCTACTAATTTAGGCTTCTTGAATTTCGTATTCACAAGTGAGCTATTTATACACACCTATAAACAG